TTGGTTTGTGTCTGTGTGTGTGTATGAAAAATCTCTATCAGACCGAGAAAAGTGACACACCAAGCAAGCGTACCAATCGACAGTAGTAGTCACGCGCAAACATAGACACACCAGGACAGAATGAGTTGAGTATCGTTGGACAGAGCTCAGCACCGAAATTTTTCTGTATCACTGGGACTCCGATTCGGATCAGCAGACGGAGTGAGAAGGTGATGCGGACGAGGGGGGCGGGGGGGGATGAAACTAACGATGAGAACGGAATCAACCACAGTGTTGGAAGAGATCTGAATCCAGCCACACGCCAATGGCGATGGACGAGTGAAGTGATATGGATAGAGAAAGTGCAGAAGGAAACTTCAAACTGAATGTGGAGCGAATGATCTTTGTGGACTGTGACCATTAAAACAGATGAATAAAAATGTACCTATTACATCCAGGACCATAACCACATCCCTCTATCCAGATTTCTAGATCAACAGTCCGCTCCTGGAGAATCACTGAGGCACCTCATGACTGTGATTAAACGCCGTATTCGTTCCGTCGTACAGAGGGGGCTTTTCCTCCACAAGTGTCAGACTTGATACAGGTGGATACAATGTGGCCTCGGTTGTGCTTGTGCTAGGGGTCGCAGGGGTGAACAGTTGATCGGTTAGATGAGGATCCCCAGTGACAGCCGGTCCGGTATCATCGATCCAAAGTTCCGTGCTCCGATGAAACAGGCTGGCGAAGAAATCTCGTAGTATGACCACGGATAACAGTAGACAGTGTACTACGATGGCCAAGGCCGCACTACCAAACACGGTTCCCAGAATTCGATGCACATTGGTGAAATCTGAATAGCCATTGGGCAGAAAAGGGTAACCAGCGATCCAAACAGTGGGATTCCCGGCTTCCGGACTATTCCGATCCCCGATACCGAGGATGTAGCTCAGGAACAGGCACAGAGTGACCACAGCCAGATATCCGTAATAGACCAGAATCACATAGATCACGTGACAGAGATAGAGTGGAACTCCGATCAGACAGAGATCGATGAGAATCAGAAAACCCGGGATGACGTGCTTCAGTTGTTGTTCTAATGCTGAATCAGACAAAAATAGAGCACGAGAACGTAGTAGATTGATAGAAGAAGTGGAAAATAGTCATGCAGGTATCGCCTGTTATGGGGTAAAAATGACTTTCGTTTTCAGCTACATTCACATGCTACGGTTATAATAATAATGATAAAAGTAGTTATTACTATGATCCTTGCATGGCGGTGACTCGAACTAATCTGAAAGTAGATCGTCTTGCTATGACTAACATAGTAAACTACCGCATCTACCTCAATTCACATTCCATTTGGTTTAATCCCCTAAAAGTTAGTCTAGCAGTGACATCCAGAATACCGTAAGCTGTAGTGGACATGGGCAATACTTAATCCACCTAAAGTATAACCCGTGTTCATTTCGTAATTATTCACACCTTATTACAAATGTGTTCGTCCAGATCCATCTGATCGCTTTCGGTGAAGTTATGAAGCACCTTGTACGCCAATTCTTGCCTTCAATCATCCGTCCAATTTGTCTTCCCCTTAGTCTACCGTAAAATACTCAACATAAATCCCCCTGACTTTGTGATTGGATATCCATGGGAATAATTCACCAGAACAACTTGCTTCCCCCGTCCCCAAAAAGAAAACAGAAGTTCGGTCACAGTCATGATTTATGTCACACCGTGAGCAAGTTAGTCCCCAATTTGATTGTGCATTTGAGTATTCAATATAGAAAAAAAAGAAAAACACTATTGTTTGTGCAGTTGATCGAGAAGTTTGCACAGTCACAAAGGGCAATCAACATGTATGTCGGATTCCTCCAAGGCGGTACCTGACGAGTAAAGGGGTAGTTTCATCATCCGCAGATAACTGACAGATTTATTGCCCATGCGTTTGAATTGATTGATAGATTGGCTGATGCTGTCTACCATCACTTATGCACGTCTCGCGAACTTGCTCTTTGAGAAGATCGACTCGTTTAAACCAATGAGATGTCAGTATATAACTGTCCAACTTGAATGATATGTTGACGGTTTAACTGTCCAGCTCGATCGCATGTAACGTTTACACCCGCTATTGGTCTGCCTGCCAGCTTACGTGTTGACGCCCTACTTTTTCACTGACCCATAGGTCGGCGACATGTGTACTCACTGAAAAAAAGGAACTGCCTAATTCACTACGTGGTTAGCTAAATACCAAAACGGGACAACAAACAGTACCTACGAGCCAGTACACTGTTGTATTTCTTGGGCTATATTTCGTCGCCATCGTTTGTTACATATTACATCTCACACTCGTCTGAGTTCAGACCGCGTGATAAAATGGAGCACAGTACAACCATCTTTTTAAAAATAGCAGAGGGGCTCGTCGACAGAATACTGTCAGGTTACCCAGATAAGTGAATTTTCTTGAAGAATTCACAACCATTTCGAAGGTGATTTCCAGTAACGTTAGCTTACTGTTGGAAAAGCTCTGTGAGGTCAGCAATCTCTTTGGTTATTACGGGTACAACAATGTCGGTACCGTTTTGCTCCAAGTTAGTTGGTTACATTCTCATATGGAGAATGACGCAATGAAACTTGACAGTCCAGCAAATTTCGGTCATCTAGGCAGTGGAGTGATAACCTTTGCAAATCATAACTGATGCAGTAATCCTATTTTTCCATTTCAGTTTAAAACTAAAAAGGGCGGTGGTGACCAAGTGGTTAGATCACCAACTTATGACCTGTGAGTCCCGGGCTCGAACCGCTCCAGCGCCGCCCGTCTTCCCAGGCAGCCTCTTCCTGAATGCTACCTGTACATTTGTAAATTTATTAAATAAAAAAGAAGCAAAAATACATTTAAATCAATTGTGTTCTCCATTAATTCAAACCTCGTTTCCTTATTAAATCTCTTTAAATAATTATATAGTGAATAGGTACGTTGCACCTGACACTCCTGCTTCTAGTATTGCGGTTAAAGCTGACTCAATATCACAACATCCAGGCATCTGACGTAAAACCTCTTTGTGCATTATTGCTGATGATTTTCTCGACCCCATACTACCTTTTCACCTTCTTGAGTCGGATATACTTTGTGAATTCCACATTCGCCTTGACGCCATGCTAGACCTTTGGGGCAAGAAAGAGCTGTCGTATATGAGTGGAAAACAGGCCTTCCTATTAGACCGCTATTTCTGTTCGTGAAAAAGGAGATTCGTTGATTCGGTCAAGTAGATATTCGAGCCAGTCTTAGTAACAAGAGCTCAGAACAGCTTTGTGGTGCACAGATCAACCAATATCCGGATATTGTAGATCTAAATCGACAATCTGCTGTTTTCGCTGAAACGAATATACTTTTTCCCAAGTGCTCATCCAGTCATTTTTCATTTTTTCTCTCGGAAAATAAAGGTTCTTCCTACTGCTCGCGGTCTCATTGGTTGCAAATGTGCAGATAAATGTTCCGATCCTGTCAAATACAGTTTGACTGACCTTCGTGATTCGTCTACGTCGCACTCTCCGGGGGGTGCAACATTGTGTTCAGAACCCCTTTCAATTATTAATTCAGCTCTTCATTTCAGTCGGATTTTCATTTCACATCTCTTTCATCGTTTGTGAACACGTTGAAAGTATCTCTGTGGAAAACTTCAAAATCTTGGTATCCCTCCACGTTAAGGGCTTGGTAATTAAATTTCTCGTCATCAGCATTGAAGCAGCATTGCTCTCGCGCAATTTTGAGAGATAAAGGTTTCACTGTGATTGTTAGGTTTCTGAAATTGCTATTCGGTCACAGTAGTTCTCCCCGAAAGGATCTTGTTGACCTGATTGTTTGCAAGCACTTGATGCGTGTAACCAGTCACTACCAAACGCTTATTGTCTGACGCTAACAACTGTTTAAAAGGAGGAAATCCTCAAAACTTCATTTGACGTACCCGTTCCGGACGGGAACATCTTCCCGATCGCCTATCCACATTTTACCAAAACATAAACGTCTATTTGGTGCACATCTTAGTTAACGGCTTATCCCCTACTGCTAACCTATCAATCAGTATTTTCAAGTGAATTTTAACACGTGTATTTCTTCATTTAGGCGCATCGGTTTTTCACTCCTCTACTGTAATTTGTGAATCACGCTGGCCATGCATCTGGTGGGGGTGCTCTCTTGACTTAATGGAGCACTCAACCAAAATCTGATTCATTCCGGGGGGCGGGAGGCTTATATCCCCTTTGAACGAGGTCAACTGTCCAAGGCACACAGCACACCCTGAGGTCGAATTAGTCCGGTGACCACTGCCAGAACGGAGACCGGTCACAATCACCCGTTCCCGATCTTATTGCGGCTTTCGTTTACCCCATTCTCACCTGAGGTCCCAGTTGAAGTGTCTTTCCGCGGCCACATAAAGGCAAATCTTTCAAAAGACGAACTAAACTGGGTTGAGAGTAATCGAGACCCCAAACCCTCAGTCAAGTGGCGTGCGGTATGCAGTTCAGTTCAGTTCAGTTTGTACAATCATTAACCATGCACTTGGTGGGCACTGGTTTTGCCCATTCGGATGAACATTAGGAGAAAGACAGGAAAGGTTGAAAATTACCAAAGAGAAAATTTAGAATTTCATTCCACTAATTCTGAAGAGAAATTGAGAAGATGCACGAACTCCACTGTTTACGACACAGTGTCTCTAACCATGGAGTATGATCATCCCGAGGTCCCCAGATAGGGAGCTTATTGGGACCGATGTGCGCCAGTCTACTGGTTAGGGTTTTCA